CCCAAATCATCGGTGAACGAAACTGTGGCAGCTACAACCACTGTACCACGAGTACGCGGTTATTACAGCTGACAATGATGATGATGATGTATTTGGGCGGAATTAACTGTTGGCAGACACGCTTGTTGTCCACTTGTCGTCTGCAAGCAAAATCAGGGCGATGGTTGCATGTGCCAGTGATGTGCACCAACAAACTGAGGTCAGTTAGCCACCAATTTCCAAAGATGAAGGTGACCTGATGGCAGATGAAATGACGGAAAGCAGCTGATCAGATCGAGTGAAACTGGCAAAAATTTGTCCGTTCTAATCATTCTCATCCTGCCTGACATAACTGCACAGGGCGCGCTTGGCGTATCGTAGACTGTTTTCAAGTTTCGTAAACAGTTGTTTGGTTATTCTCCCACCTGTTACATCAATTTCATGCCTTTTGAAATAGGAAAATCGGCAAGTCGTTGTTCCGAAAGGTTTGGTTGGTGGAAAATTAATGGATTTACTGATGAGTAACACTTCACTTTTCGCACAACGGTTGTACAGACGTGTTGGAGCATGGGATAAACATGCATTCTGGACCTTCAGACCTTGAACGGCTTCCATGCAAGCGCCCCAGGTATTCAAGTCGATGAGGAAATGAAACCTAGCAGACAGACAGAAGCCAGTAAATGAGCCGCGTATGTCAGATGCCCGGAATTCAATTACCGGGGAGCAAAGGAGATGCAGTGCTCACAAGCTCTAAGAAGAACAGAGTTTGAGTCCAGTGCTTTGCGGATGAAGTTACCAGAACAGCAGGACTGCTCGAAGGAGTGTACGGGCACTAAAATCACGACTGGTTGATGTGCCCACAGACTCCGATCAGCTGACTGGCGTTCACTGAGATTTAACGTGAATATGCTGACAAAACCAGAGGTATGTATTAAATTCAGCGGTAGCTAAAAGTCAGAGAGTAGGGCAAAATTTCAGCCACCCTGTATTTACAGGCTAAATTAGTCTTCGCATGGATTATACCCACGTCTGATCACTGCGTCTGCCGTCTTAACACGACTATTTCGGTAAGGTCATACCGAACAAGAAGGCACCTAATTCAAGTTCCGCCTTTGTGAGAGTTGGTCAGCGCATATGATCGACCGCAGCGTTATCTGAACCCCGATGGTTCCTTATAAGAGGGCGGCGCAAGCGTATCACGACTACTTCACCAGGGTACGCTGGACCCTAGTGAAATGTCATCTCTGAACATATCGAAGCTTGGGTGATGTGTAGTTTTGTCTGACGCTTTTTCGAGTTCAAGGAATGCACCTGACTTACACGGAGTCTACATGAAGGGAATCTACTGTAGCATAGGTCCGGAAAGGTCAGGAAAAACCGCCGCGCTGCCAAACCGTGTGTCAAGTTGAACAAGTCCGAGGGGTCCCCATCCAGGACGGCGGCTATTGCCGACCCGACTAAGTTTACTGGTTAGTGTTTTCATACTTCGTAACCGGGTCATACACTGTCCATCTCCCGATCGTTCGGAGTCGAGCTAAAATAGCTCTGCGAGGCAGACGGTCTTCTAGCATGCGGAGTACATCTCCTAACGAGCGCAGCCAATGAGGCGTGAGTAATTCATCTATCGCGGGGCCGCATTGAAGGTGATATCTTTGATTCACGAGCGCCACTATGGCGGTGAAGCATCGCTGTTGGACATTGATATCATGCTGTCGGTGATGATGATGACGAGCGCCACTGACTGCGCGATTGGGTCATTTCTGCCAGTGTAATTATGCATTAGTGAGTCGAGTCCCGGGGTCCCCATCCAGGACGGCGGCTATTGCCGACCCGACTAAGTTTACTGGTTTGTGTTTCCATACTTCTTTACCGG